CTCACTTAACTTATCTTATTTATCTTATCTCTGTTATCTTATCTTATTTTGAAGGTATTTGAAAATAATTCAGAATTGCTAACAGACTTCACTTACTCACGACCCCACCGAATTTAGAGCAGCTCATAGGCAAAATAAAAATAAATTAGTACAATAATTTTTATTGGTACAACACTACATCTTTTTCATTCTAAGTCTTCAAAAGAAATACGTTATGTCTTCAGTGGTCAGTGTCATAAATCAACCGTGTGGGTTTAATTTCTGAACTTATTTTCATCTCATTGCTGAATAGTTTATTGCAGATACTTGAGCTGCCAGTTACAGTAAACTCGGAGGATGATGAATAGTTTAACCAGAGGTTGAGCCATAGCCTTGCTAAGTGTTTGCGGCCTCCTAGTGTGTCCCATAAAGTTAATAGAGGCGATGGTTTGGTCGCTATGGATGTATGGATGTAAATCCTCAACAGTTGCTGAAGGTTACATACAAGCTCCTGTGGAGAGAAATATTGAGGAAGCTGTTTCTCGCGTTATTGAGCAAAGCCTCGGATTCTAAGAGCGAAGCTCTCGGCCTTGAAACTTTCTGTAGAAATATTTCCGCATGGATTATTTGTTGCATCCTGTCCCTAGACGCTAGGGCGTTTGACAGTTTGACGTTACCATCACCAACTTTGAAAAAAGAAATTCAGCGTGTTCAAATAGAAGCTGTTTTGATACGCATGTTCGTGTCATAATGGGTTCATCGAAGACGCAAAATAATAGTACATCATACATCATGGGACAGAAATACAGGATTTTTTCCTAAGGTGCCATTTGTAGCTCGAGGGCGAAGCACGAGAGACACAAAGCACCGAGTGACCGAGGGAAAAATAGCAGTATGATGTCCTGAGGTGTACATAGGTACTATTTTTTACGCTGGCGAAATTACAAGAATTGAGGAAGAATAAAAGTAAGGGCAAAGTGTTTTGTCATGATCAGTAGTAGTATAGGTTGTGGAAATCGTATCTTGACAACATGTATCTTGTGGACAACCCATGGTGATAGCAAATATCAAACTGAAATTTATGAAAACAGCTTTGAAAATGGTTAACGGTTATGGAACAAGAAATTGAGGAGGAACCCCAAGAAATTGCTGATACTGCTTCTGCAGTGATTCTCAACTTGCTACCTGTGAAAGAGTGTTCCGAAAAGAAAGCGCAGTGCTATGCGGAAAATGTAAAGTTGGTATAAACTCTCTAGGAAGAAGATATGTCACATTATCTCCCTAGGGAATAATACGCCACTTCTGCCCCTCTTTTGTTACCAAAGAAAGTAGGTAACTTCTACTCCGACCGGCGTAAAATAGAAGATTGTTTTATTAGGATCAAAAGTGACACTTCGCTCGGCTTCGCTAAACGCTCCGCCTTGCAAAAGCGAAATATGTTCGTCGAACAAAGCCGCACTTTTGACCCGAATGAAACCTGCTATTTTTTCCGCAACCGAAACAATTGACTCGAATAAATATGTGAAGTAACCACCAATGCAGTGCCATATGTATGCAAAGCAACAAATAATCCGTGTGGTGAGAATATTTTAACTGCATAGACAGTAGGTTTATTCAGTTTTCAAGGATGTTCAAATTGTAGTTTCAATATAAATACAACTACAGAGTGACATAATTGTGTATGGACCAGATGCTCTAATGGCAAATACCGCGCCAGTGCCAGGTATAGGAACAAGACGTGGAAAATGTTAGGTTAGTGAGCATATCAACAATAATGATAGCAATTATTCATTTCTCCCCATACTCCACTGTGTTTGGCTTGATAATCAAATGTAGATAAACAATATCGTTGTTTGAGAAAAAAAAACCATTGCTGGCCGTAATTATTCAAACACAATTCATTCATCCCGAAAATATCGAATGGAATACATACCAAGCAAGTATGTGAATCTTGAAGACTTTCCTGATCAAAGCAAAAATACTCAACTATACCTTCGATTATATACACTAGTGTGAATACTCAAAGACTATACTAAGGTATATTTATACAGGGTGAGTCCTGAGGAACTGTACATACTCCTACCACGAACAGAGGACCCCGAGGGGAATATCTAATGGCAATCAGAAAGTGTCTTCTCCTCTTCTTCACTAATATATAGGGTGAATTATGGAATTTGGCAAAAACATCTTTTGGTTATAACTATCCAACAGCTTCTTCGATTTTTCTGATTTTTTCATGGAATATTCTTCTACTACTCTCTAATCGAATAACTCATTCAGAATCAGAAAAATCCAGGACCGTTCTTGAAAAATTTTGCTAGTTCAGCTTATATCAAAAAGTTCACCCTGTATTTGGTTCTCGTAAACTGTGACATGGAATTTTCGAAGGTCACAAACATGCTTCAAAAATGAAATATTCAAAATGTTCCTCACACTTTCACTGAATTTTTAAAAAAATGATGAATTTTGAGCAAAAACGAAAGTTTGACAAAAAATTTATTTATTTGAAAATGAACACTTGGCAATGCATAAATTCCACAAATACAAGCAAGACTTACATTTTCAATGATTCAGCTCGATGGAAATCAACAATTTTCTCTTATTTCTAGTTCTGGATTTTGTCATTTTATTTTTTTGTGGAGGGTAATAATCACCCTGTGGATCTTTTTCGAATCACTGGATGGGGTATCTATATGGATGTAAATGGCCATTGATCTGAATAATTCTAGATAGTCGAACAGAAAATGGAGGTTTATTCACAATTTCACAAAAGCTATATAGGTACTAACAAAGAAAGGATAATTCTGTACGGAGAATAAGTGACCAAAAAAACTGAATGAAACAAGTCTAATAGATAAAACTGAGAATTAATAATCATAAAACATTTTCGAAATGGAATCCTCCTGCGTCTATACACTTTTCTTGCCGGACTGTCAAATGCCTGATTGACTCCCTGATTGTTATGGGATCATTTCTAATAATGTTGCAACAATGAATAATTCTGTCAATTAGTTCCTGCCGTGTGTTGAAATTTTCGTCATAGACCATTTCTTTCAATCGGCCCCAAATGAAATAGTCAATGGGGTTGAAGTCAGGAAGACCTCGGTGGCCATGGAATTGGACCTCCGCGTCCTATCCACCTGTTTACAAAGGTGGCATGCAGGTGTTGGCGTACAGCCACCAAAAAATGGGGTGATGCACCGTCGTGCTGAAAGTACATTCCTCTGATACCTACGTTGGCTAGCAGATTGGGCAAAATATTCTGCAGAAAGTTCAAGTAAACTGCTCCTGTTAATGGACCATCGAAAAAATGAGGACCTATCAGCTGGTCATTCACTACTGCAATCCATACATTCACAGAAAACCTGTACTGCGAGCGACATTCGCAAATAGCATGAGGGTTTTCTTCGGCCCAGATATGTGAGTTCCGAGAATTATTTATTCCATCTCTCGTAAACTGCGCTTCGTCACTGAACAAAGTTCTATACAATAAAAGATCATTATTAGCAACCCATCTAGCAAATTGTAAACGTTGTATTTCATCTCCAGGGTGTAACCTTTGCACTTGTTGGATGTGGTATGGGTGTAATTTGTTCTTCCGTAAAACTCTACTCACTCTTGATTGGGAAACATCTGATTGTAAGCTTACTTTTCTGGTACTTATTTTAGGATTTTCTTCGACAGCATGGAGTATGTTCTCTTCTTCTACGAAATCCACATTCCTTTCTGATTTTGATTTTGGAAATGTCCCGTTTTCTTTCAAATAATTGAAAACAGATCCGAACGTTTGATGATTGGGAACTCGACGTGCGGGAAATCTTCTTTGGTATTCTCTAACCGATGCTCTACCATTACCATCACATAATCCATATACAAAAATAATATCGGCATATTCTGCTGTTGAAAATTGATTCGGCATTTTCAATTTGTCACATGCAGTAAAAAAACTCAACTGACACCTGATATGTATAATCTCAGAGTTAACTAGTGAAGACAAGCAGTGAAAACTTATGGCATACACATTACTTGACATTAGGTAAATAGATTCAAACAATGAAACTGTCAAATTGTCATAGACTCCTTCGACCGGTCCTAATTTTCAAGTGTATTAGGTAACCTGATGGTGAAGATAATTTGACATTTTTCAGTGTATTTTGGGTCAATGATCTCTCCAGATACCATTTATGATTCGAAAAATATCTACAGGGTGATTATTACCCTCCACAAAAAAATTAAATGACGAAATCCAGAACTAGAAATAAGAGAAAATTGTTGATTTCCATCGAGCTGAATCATTGAAAATGTAAGTCTTGCTTGTATATGTGGAATTTATGCATTGCCAAGTGTTTATTTTCAAATAAATAAATTTTTTGTCAAACTTTCGTTTTTGCTCAAAATTCATCATTTTTTTAAAAATTCAGTGAAAGTGTGAGGAACATTTTGAATATTTCATTTTTGAAGCATGTTTGTGACCTTCGAAAATTCCATATCACAGTTTACGAGAACCAAATACAGGGTGAACTTTTTGATATAAGCTGAACTAGCAAAATTTTTCAAGAACGGTCCTGGATTTTTCTGATTCTGAATAAGTTATTCGATTAGAGAGTAGTAGAAGAATATTCCATGAAAAAATCCGACAAATCAAAGAAGCTGTTGGATAGTTATAACCAAAAGATGTTTTTGCCAAATTCCATAATTCACCCTATATATTAGTGAAGAAGAGGAGAAGACACTTTCTGATGGCCATTAGATATTCCCCTCGGGGTCCTCTGTTCGTGGTAGGAGTATGTACAGTTCCTCATGACTCACCCTGTATGTCCAGCATGGGTATGAAATGCCAAATCTGTATGCGTCTCAACCCAAATAACCAACCATAACAATGTTGTTCATTCTTGATAACCTCTAGTACATACTTTTTAGTTCCTAGGAGCTAAAGTTCAACTTCAACTCCAAGGAACTAAAGTTCAACATTAGCTCCTAGGACCTAAATGTGTTGCCTAGCATGAAACAAAATTACTCACATTTACTATGCGGCGGCGTCATAGCGAGCGCCGCGACGGACGGCATCGGCGGAAAGGGCAACGGCGAATGGCTGTCCACCTCCTGCTTCATGCCCCCAGGGGGAAGCATCTGGACGGGGGGAGACGTCCTGAAGTCCTTGGTGGGGCTCAGGTCCAGCTCGGGACTGTCTGCGCCGCGCTCGGGCGTTCGCGGCTTCTCGTCCTTTATCTTAACTTCTTTCGTTCGCTTCTTGAGGTAATACATAAATAGTGTTATACTGGGTGTTTCTTAAGTACGTGTAGAAAATTCAGGAGCATGTTGCTGACGTTAAAATAAGAAGAAAAGTTCCTATAATTATATGTCCAAAAGTTATTCGTTTCTGAGAGTGTCAAAGTTGAATTGTCATTTTTGTCTTTTGTTAATAAATTTCGAAACAAATGTGATATCGCATGAAGTTTGGTTTCTACCGGTACTTTTCAATGACACTATCAAATTTCATGGTGGTTCATCTCTTTCGTGAGGGTGGCGCCACCTACATGTCTTTTGAGTCTTTCGAAAAGTCATAACTTTTTTGTGTGTACCTGTAACACGTTTCATGGTAGAAAAATAGATTTCTAGAATACTTTTGTGTAAAAAATATTATCTTGGTAGAGGTGGCTAAAAACAGTGGCGTTCCATTTTTTAATGAAATGAAATTATATTTTGGTCAATTCCAACGGTTCAAGAAAAGATAGATGATGAATTATTTTTATTAAATTATAGAGAAATGTATCCTCTTTCATAACAAATAAAAATAAACATACCATTACACTTGTTTCTTTAACTCGAAAATTTGATAATATTTCAGTTAACGCCATCTAGCGGCGACAGCAGAAGTCACAAATTAAAAACCAAATGAGGGTTTTGTAGGGCAAATTATGCTCTTTCATATGAGCATAAGTTTGCTGAAATCGGTAGAAATAAACGGAAGAAATCTTGGTTTGTTTAAAAAAACAATTGAACTTCCCCCACCGCTATATTTTGATAAATAGAACAAAACGTTTTAGACAAAAAATGTAGGGAAACGGTCAGTAAATATGAAAATGATATTATCAATAAACTCTCAAGAGTCAAAATTCTATAAAAATCTCATTTTTCTTCTTGGTGTTGGTTGTTATGCCCTCTATCGTTTCAATTCCATTTATTCAATGAAAACATTTTTACAATACAAGGTGTATAAACAAAAATCTTCTAAAGGGGACATTGGACATGATGAAAATGTGAAACATACAATGTAGAACACACTTAGATACGCCACAGAATTACCCTACAAGGGAGCCCTCAGAGGCAGCCGATGCAGGCCTTGCCGATGATTTTTGTCTAACAACCCTGATGGCAGTCATGAGGGAGCTGACTCCTAGGGGTAAACCTTTAATCCAGCTCATGTCAGTGGGTTGCCCAGGGCAAAAAAGATTGATCGTCGATTGCTACCTTTTTCTCTCTAATTTAGCATTTTTTGTGTTGGAAAATAAAAATAAAAAACCAACTTTTGGAATTTCTCTGTGAAAGAGCCCTCTACCGGACGTTTGACAAACTCGGAAATAATTTCCCCCCCTTAACTAATAACCCTGTACAGCGCTATTTCATTACAGAGCCATATTTACGGTATAAGGTCTAGAGATATAAAGGAGTTTGAAAAAATACTCACCAAGCATAAATTCTCCGCTCGATCTTCCGCAGGACTATCCGGTTTGGCGCTGAGATCCTGGGCCCCGTAGAGCTCCCCCGACCGCCTCCTGGGCCTGGCCTGCTTTCGGCGCGGCAGAGGCGACTCCGGACGCGCCAAAAAGTTATCCTGGCGCGTCATGAAGCTTTCCTGGCGCGCCAAGTGGTTGTCCTGGCGCGCCAAAAAGTTTTCCTGGCGCGGTAAGTAGCTCTCCGGGAAGGAAAGCCGGGACATGTGGGGCAGTTTGACCTCCGCGTGGTGGGCGGAGATGGGGGAGAATGGGGAGAGACGCTCCACGGGGGTTCTTGGAGCCAGCATGGGGTTGGAACATCTGAAATAACGAGTTTCATTTGGAAACGGAACTGAGGAACCAAGATTATATACCGAGGCATTATTTGATAAGGAGGTGTTTATTATACATACAGGAAAATATTTTGACAACTTGATCACCGTGACATTTTTTTAATTCTTGTCCGATTCTAGTAAAATGTTGACCAAATCGTAGATTCACCTTCAGGAATGTTAGCATGAATTCTAGTACCCAAGAAAAGCTGATGGATTGATCAATGAACAGGAAAAAACGAAAGTTTCTTTTTCATTCCTTACTTCTTAACGACCTCTGGCAAAAGTGAGTTGTTAAACTTAGCTTCATCATGTTTTGAATAGAGGTGTGATATACAATGGATTTTCATTCACGTCAATATTTTCTGTTTCAGAGAAGATACAAGTGTTTTGAAAAAGTATGTGATTTTCCAGAGATTCAGAACCTATAGAGCACCTCAGCTTCGTTCGGCCTACAAGAATTGAGATTCGCCCTCATTAGGATTGCTTGAGAAATTAGCCACGGAGGTTAAATATTATAATCCAAGCTCGAGGAGGACATATTCTTCATTGACAACATCTAGGGAGTTTTCTATTTGTTTCTTTTTTGTAATGAAGGCCGGGCGTCCTGAAACTTGACACGAGCCAGGGCGCCTGGTCTCATACCCATTGTCAAAAAAAATACTTCTGAGATTTTCAGATACGAAATAGTGATTCAATATCATGAAATGAGTGTTTATTCAAATGAAAAAGTGGTATTGAAAAATCAAATTTGAATCCAAATGGATTACAAAACATCGAAACGGAACAGGAAAGTTCATAACATTGCTTAAAAATAAAAAGGAATTGGTAAGTTCAATTCTTATCAGTTTCGTGCATTGTCTGAACAAGTGGGGCACCAAGTTTGAAGGTGAATGAAACATGAATTTTCTAAATTTTTTACAAAAATATTTTGTTTTAGAGTCTTTCTTGCAAAAGAAACATTTTTTTCGTGTCCCAGGTGGGATTTTCTGAGGTGCTTCCAGAGTACCAGCTACTTCTCGTCTCCTCTCTCACAGATGGTGGAATATTTGTTTCAAAAGGACGTCTATTGAATTAACAAAACAGTGACGGGAGTCGGGGCGCTAGGTCTCACAGATTTTTTGAATAAGAGCTTCTCTCACTGATGAGGTGTAATATTATCACTTGCTGCGCGAGTACTGGATAAGGAATAATGAAGCTACATAGAGCCCCCACTCACGAATAAATTCTGCGCCAATCAGCCGAACGATTTGCTGCGCGCCAATTCTCACTTAAAACACTTGTATCTCCTCATGAAAAGTCGATTCTATTCAGATATTGTTATAACATTGTTGAGATAACAATATTTACATTGCATTTCTGTATTCTGTTTGGCCAATACCTGCAAGATATAGGTTATGAGTTGAAATATGAAGATTAGGAATAAAAATTAACTTCAACTCTCAGAAATAACAATAACAACTTTTCGGTGCGTAGGCTTCCTTATACATTTCCAATGTGAATGAAAACAGAACGTTGCTGAAACAGATCATTTTATAGGAATTCCAGATGACGAACTATGAGATTAGATGTCACTGTTTTTTTTTTTGTGGAACTTCCTTCAACAATAGATATGAAAACACTGATGAAACACCAATGACACACGGGAAAAAGCATCTGGTTAGTATAAGCACAACCAGATAGCTTGTATGCCGAACCATTTCTCATGGTCACTATATAATAATAATATTGTTATAGTTACAGATTGATAGCAACTCTTGTATTTAGTTGTTCCTATGTTTACCAGAAGTTTGTTACGGTAATAGACATTACTTAGCATGCAACTTTGTTATTTTTTAATTGAATAAGGAATTTGAATCAGATCGACTAGATTCAGCTCAGCACGTGAACATACTTATACAGCATACATATTCCCAACATATTTTGCTCAAACTGAAATAGAAATCGAATGGTTAGTTTGATCTCAAGATGTATTCGTTTGAACGTACTTTTTATGTGTAAATTTATCTCACTCTCAAATTATGTTATGTTCCTCTTTGGTAGTACATTCAAAAATTATAAAGATTCAAAACAAGAACCTATACATAGCATATTGTTGTATTTCAATGGAAACAACGATAACAAATCATGTTAGCATTCATGAAAACAACTTCCGTCAATCTCATATATGGGATAGGTGAATTGACTTATTTGTCATCTTAACAGGGTACGGACAGATCCTCGTCTCATCTCACTGTAAAGTGTGTGTGAAACAGTTATATAGTTCCATCTTTATTAATTTCTGGGGATAAACACTAGATTTCTGACATTTGTTGTGTTTTGAATTATATTGAGGACATTGGCGTATCATACGTAATTTCCACAGGTAATTTCTCATTCAACTCTACATATTATATCCAAATGATGACGATAATTTTCGAGTTTTTGATTTTTCAACTTCAGCATAATCTTTGTGAGGCAGCGAGCACATTCTTCTGAAAGTTCAATACGTTTTATCAAATGGGACTGTTCTTAGGCAATACCTATCAATAAATGGATTTTGATTCCAGACTAAGCCTCATTTTCAGAAATGGTGAAAAATTGTATGTATGTATTCAAACTGCAAAATGTGTTGACCCGGTTTGTGTGGTTAACTTCGAGGAAGAATGGCTAAAGTATGAAATTGAAATTTTGAAAGATCTCTTTTAAAGCCTATGAATGTGACGCGACAGCAATGTCATGTCAGGGACGCCAATACACGAAACCAAAGTCACTAGATGATTAAAAAAGGAAGGAGCTATGATCTGTCCGTACCCTGTTAGATAACAAATGCGTCAGTTTGCATCAAGGGACCCTAATATGGAACTGTTCTATCTTACCTGCTGCCGCTCAAGCAATTCCTATCGAACTCGTTGGGACTCGTAGACGGAGTGAGCGTCTGATTCACGATCGCCGCGGGCTCCTTATCTCCCACCCCATCCTCGTTGGCCAATCCCCTGACCTGCAGACTCTCCGCCGCGCGCATCAAGCTCTGCAGCTGCTCCTGTCCCACGGAAATCTCGCCCTTGTACATAAAGTCCACTATCGCCTGCACCTCCCAACCGCTGAAGTCCTTGAGCACGATGACCGGATGCTTGCACGGGTTCTCCGAGAAGATGCGTTCGAAGAAGGGCGAGCATGCGCTCAAGACCACTTTGTGCGCACGCACCGAGGTCTCAGCGCATACCAGCGTGACATCGACCAGGGTTTCTGCGTGCAAGAGGGCCTCGAAAGCGGCGAGGATGTGCGCCTGGTGGTTGTTCCAGCGCAGGGAGTAGTGCGATTGCGTCATTTTGGGGGTTGTGTGGGTATCATAAGGAGATCATTGTTCCGATATTTGTGTTCCTGAAATCGAATTGTGATATATCAACAACTGAATACTTCTCGAAATCATATCCACGACAATTTAATATGATCAATAACGATCAAATCAATTGGGAGGGGAAACCCAACAATTCTCTTCAGCAAAATTCAACCCTTTTTATATTGAGATTGAACAACTTTTTTTTCATTCCCACGACAGAGATGAAGTAATTATATTAGGCTGAGGATGGACATACACAGGGTATGTCACGACGAGCTCAGATTATCTCTATATCGAGAATCAGTCAGGAGAAAGTTTAAGGTAGAGTTGAAAAACTATCTGTTACCCAAAGTTTATTACTCAGTAAGTCAGTTTTTTGCCAGTAAACCAAAACTGTAATAGGGATGAAAATATTCATGTTCTTTTCAACAGTGTTTCGGTGTGACGTTACAAGAAATTTCGATTTTGATTGTGATTTTATATCTTAATGTTTTATTTTTATTTAGTGTCGTTTATTATTCATTGTGATTTTATATCTCAATGTTTTATTTTTACTTAGGGTCGTTTATTATCTATTGATAGAACATTTTTTTCCTACATTTGCTGACGCTTCCTATATCATACATGTCTGTTTAAAAAACCTTTTATATGGATATGTCTTGATCTGAAAGGAATTAAAGAAATTTTGAATTTTGAATTCTTTTGAATTTTGAGAAATCTATGGAAATATGGATGCTCATATTTTAGAATACGCTCTCTTTATTTGAAATATTTTCAGCAATGCAGTGTTTCCGCTTTTATCGAAAAGTAGTAACAACTTTGTTATTCCAAATGGAATACCCTGATGTATTTCATTGCATTTTCAGATTTTCCCTGAAGAGCTGATTTCATCGACATATTACACTAGGGGTCTATTGGAGATGATCACAGAGATATAGGGTGTTCAAGATCGAGATTGGATGTGTTTGTGTCGAAACTATTTATTATCGGCCGAAACGGCTCACATGTCCCTATCTCAACTTTTGATTACTATCAACTGATATTTAATGAGAACAGATACAGGGTGTTCAGAATTCTGAATCTTGAATCACCCTGTATCTGTTCCGATTAAATATCAGTAAATAGTGAATCAGAAATTGAGATTGGGACATGTGAGCCGTTTTGATCGTTAATGAATAGTTTCGACACAAAAAAATCCTCAAGTTAGAAAATCTCGATTTTGAGCAACTTATATCTCTGTAATCTATTTCGATAGACCCCAACTGTGATATATAGATGATCAGCTCTCCCGGGAGAATCTGAAAATGCAATGAACAACAGGGTGTTTCGTTGGAAATAATAATGTTGCTACTATTTTCTAGAAGAAGCGGCAACACTGCATTGTCGAAAATATTTTGAACGAAAAGAGCGTATTCTCGATATAAAGATAGTGTAAGCTTGTCCTGATATACCCTGTACATGTCCGATCGTTATTGATCAAAATGTCGTGGAGATGGTTTCGAATATTATTTGGTGGTTCATTCCACTTTGAGATACCATGGACTTCTACCAAAGATAAAGATATATACATTTTATGTAATGGCTGTTGCAACACGAATACAAATCGATGAATTAATAGCGAGAGTGATAAATAGTTATTTATGTAACAAGTGTGTGGAGTGATACTTTCTTCACGAGTATGAAATGTTTACACTCGACGTTGAAGGCGGTGTGCGGCAATACTAATGAGTATAAAAAATACTTTACGCACGTGTTGTATACAATATGTTTTCTACAACTGCCAAAAAAGAGAACAATCTAATTCAATTTATGATGTCAATGATTGAATAATATTTCGCAATTATAATCCTGGACAGAATAGCCAGAGCCACCTTCGGCTGATTTGAATAAATCGCTCATTCCGCTCGCATTCAGCGATGCTGATCAAATTTAACATGCGAGATGCGAGCATAATACGCGAGGATATCGTCTCGCCTTCTTTTCACTCCCATCTCTATTTCACTGGCACTCCATACGAAATACGAAGTCAGCCGTCTTGATTTGTTCGCTTGCTGCTTTGCTGAATCCCTTAAAGGAGCCCATATACTGCGTTGTGAATGGGTCCGTTTCACGCAAACAGAAGTGAACTCTTTTTACACTCTTCCGTAAAATAATAAAACGGTATTTTGATATTGAAAAATTGTAGACTTTCGGCACACAAAATTTAGTGAAAAAGCGCAATTTTTTTCCATAGTTGTAGGATAATTGAATGAATTATACACCGAAATAACGATATAATCATCAAACGCATAGGATCGCTAGGGAGTCAATACAATACAACGAATTGTTCACAAACAAATTCATTTAGAATCAGAATCATCGAAATACCACTTGAATGGTTGCTATTTATTCTTGATTCTTTATCGAATCCATTTGTCGAAATATTTGAGGAAGCTGAAGAAGCAGCACGCCAATTATTGCCTGCCCAGTCCAGGAAACCTAATAGAAAATTAATTTGCGGAATTAATGAGTGGGAAGTAAAATTCAGAGTGATTACGGCATTCCACAAGGATCAATTTTGGCACCAACATCGTTCCTACTTTATATCAACGATCTATTCAGAGCAACCACTTGCCCTATCCACATATTCATCATTTTATTGTGTCAGTGATTGTTGTAACCCTCACTATATTGATGATGTGAAGATCAGACAACCCATTGTGACATACTGTCAGAGATGAAAAAAAGTCATGTCCTTAAAGACTTCAATGTGTCAGTTCTAACTAGAAAGTATATTACAATCTCAGTTCACAGAATCATTTCAGTTGGCGACGAGTGAAAAACATATAGCTTATAGAATAAGGTAAAGGCATTTTCAATAATTTTTCAAATGGACGCGGAACAGTTCAGACAATTCATGACTGTAATGCATGACCAGCAGCAATCTCTCATCAACGAGCTTGTGGCCCAGTTACGTCCCGAACAGCAGCCTGTGGCTGGTTCTCCTGTTAATTTTTCAAGTATTGCACCTTTCGAGAATTTCGATGCCCGCCGAGAGAAGTTTTCCTGTTATCTTGAACGTTTCGAAAACTACTATACAATGAAAGGTGTCAGTGATAAATCAAAAATTGCTCAGCTACTGTGTGTTTCGATTGGGTCAACGCATTATAACAGTTTAGCAGCATTCCTTGGTCCCGAGAAACCAGTAAAACTCTTATCTTATGAAGATCTGGTGAGGGTTTTCAAACAAATGCTCATACCAAAGAAAAGTGTGGTTGTTTCCCAACATTATTTCCTGAATGTTTTTCAAAAAGAAAGACAGACGATTGCCGAATACGTCGCAGCTCTTCAACGTGATCTTGTTGAATGCGAATTTTCAGTCAAATGCGAATGTACCAAGTCAGTATCCATTGCCGATGTTTTCCTGAGAGCTCAGTTTATTCGTGGTTTGCGTGACGACTGGTTGAGAGAACAGGTTTTGCAATCAAATGTAACATCATTCGAAGAAATTTTGTCAAAAGCAACCGCTCTTGAAGCCTCGAAAATAGAGAGTAAGGAGCTGACTCAGCGTTCCAGTTCCAGCCATACGAATTTCAACATGTGTGACGTTAATAAAATCACAAATTCTGCTCGACATCATTCCAGAAATCGTTCCAGTTGTCGTTCAAACTCCCGATCACATAGTCCAAGTATCCAAAATTCAAATTACCGACGACGTCAACCAGATTACAAGGCACTTGGAATCGAAAATCTTTGTATTCGATGTGGGAGAAACAATCATAAAATCAACGATTGTCGTGTCGATAGAAACAGAATATCATGTGACTCCTGCAAGAAAAATGGTCACGTTGCCAAGGTTTGTATCACGACCTTGATGAATGGTTCTCGCAGAAGATCAGGGGTTTCCAGTTCCACTACAGTTCATGCTGTTTCTGAAGATCAGCCAGATTCTGATTTTACGTACGGTCTCAACAAAATTGAAACAGTATTACAGCATTGTGAAATCGTTGACTTATTCGAAATGACCCCCGATTCTGACAAATATTTCATATCTGTCTCACTCAATGGCAAATCACAGCGATTTGAAGTTGATTCCGGTGCAAAGTTTTCCTTATTGAATGAAGACGATTTCAATAATTTAAATCTGAATGTACCTATCAGAAATTCAAATATTGCATTCAGGTCTTATTCAGGTAATCTCATTCAACCCAGAGGAAAAATATCAGTAAATGTTGTATACCGTGGAAAAGAAATTGAAGGTGAACTACACATAGTTCCAGCCGGACATGATGCTCTTCTTGGCCGACAATGGATTCGAGGGCTAGGCATTGAGCTTCAGCAGATTGACACTGAAATAGGAAACTCAGCTTTATTGCACCAACTACAATCTGTCAATTCAATCGAAGATGTATTCAGTTATTTCGCATCCATATTTGAAGCAAAAGTTGGATGTGTTCCAGGATTGAGAGTTACACTTCAACTCAGAGAAGGAGCCAAACCTGTCTTCACAAGAGAACGAAATGTCCCATATGCACTCCGAGAGCTTGTGGACAAGGAATTGGACTCCTTAGAAGCAGATGGTATCATATCATTAGTTCCTATGAGTGACTGGGGATCACCCTTAGTAGTCATTCCAAAAGCCGATGGAGGTGTTCGATTATGCGTCGATTACAAATGTGGTGTGAATGAAAGATTAGTCCAGGCGAATCACCCAATTCGACGAATAGACGATGTGCTAAACAGCCTCCGTAATTCAAAGTATTTTTGTAAACTTGATCTATTCAAAGCGTATTTACATCTGAAAGTTGATGATGAAAGCAGCGTCATTCAGACTATTTCAACTCACCGTGGCACATATCGCATGAATCGTCTCAGTTTTGGAATCAAAACGGCTCCATCCGATTTCAATCGTATACTCTCAGAAATTCTCAAGGGTCTTCCAAAAACAGAATCGTATTTTGACGATATAATTGTACATGGATTGACAATTGAAGAATGCACAGAAAATC